TTGAATGGTAGCAGAAATGATGAAGTTCTGTGTAAAATTAAAAATAGGAAGAAGTCAGGCTGGATGTCGTTATAGTATCTGCTTCGCTTTTATGTCCTGACTGGGGAACAAGTGTTCTGGTAATTAGTAGTCGCAGATAAAACAACAAAAACGCCATTCTTGTAAAGTAGACCACTTCGTTTAAAAATTGGGCGGAAGATAAGATCCCTCATTACTATATTGTTAACAGAAGGAACAGAATAGAATTTATGTAAATAAGCAGCGGAGTCAACATTCGCCTATTCTAAATCCAATGTTCCCCTGTGGCATTTTCATCTTCGTAGAAAACGTGTACTTTGTCAAATACGAACATTAGCCTCGTACCTGTTGGCCGCGTCCGGTTGCTAGGCGAAAGTCCCACCTTCGCGTGGCGCTACCGCGCGCCCCCCTTCTCTTTGCCCAGCCGCGTCCATCAGGGCGCGAGGATTCTGCAAACAAACGCCCGCCTCCGCGCCCGGCCTCGCCCCGCTCCATTTGCCAGGCGCCTCCGTGGGGCCTGCCGCCGCCGCCGCCCGCCGCCGCGGCGCTCGGGCGAGTTCGTGCGCACGCCGGCGGTCGCGCGCCCGCCGGCGCCGCCGCCGCCGCGCGCCGCCGCTCGCGCGCCGCCGTCGTGCCGCCCGCCGCTGCACCGGCACACGCGAGGTCGGGAAAGTGTTCAGCGTGATAGGTGGAGCCAGCCCGGTGTCGGTGTCGGTCGGTCGGGGAGCGCGCGGCGGAGCGGAGGCCGAGTGCATGAAAGTGGAGGAGGCGCGGCGGGCGGCGCCGCCGGGCTGGCATTGAGGTCTCGCCCGGAAGGAAGCGCAGGAGGTGACGGACGATGTGCGTGGCGTCGCTGGGTGGCGCGCGGCGGCGGTTGCCAGGCGCGCGCACGCACGGGGGCAGCGCGGGCGGCGTGTGGTGCGCGGGTGCGCTCGTCTGACAAGTCGCCTCATGAGGTGGATGCCCCTTTCCTTCGGTGCAAGCATGTCCTTTGAACGAGTGCTCGAGGAGGAGTGGTTGGCGGGCGTTCCTCCGATTGTACAGAAGACGGAGTTGCGGCCGTTTGCTGCCGTGGTGTGGCTATTGTGGTGATTCTTCGGTGCTTCGATTGAGTAAAGAAAATGCTGACGGATTGGAAGCCGTTACACGTTGTCTAGGCTATGTTTGATGTGCTTCTTGTTACTGCGAATATTGCTTCAATATATCCAGTGCGTTCTCACTCGTTTTTAAAGAACTGATTGAATATAAGAAATTATGGTTTTTTTTTAAATAGTAATTGCTTGTTCGTTCTTTCAATGCATGATCGTTCCACTTTTGATTATCCGCGTCAATGTATTTTATATATTGGAAATTAACCGATGAGTTGTGCTAATTATTCTGTTATTTTTTTATTCTTATACTATTTATATTCTTGAACAGTTTATTGTTTGACCAAGTTACAAACCTGATAAAACCTACCATTTAGACATTTCATTCATATGTCGCCACTTCTGTTGTGAGATTCCTCTTTAGTATATCGTGATTACTATTTGGTGTACAGTATACGCGTACGATTATGGTAATGCACAACTATGAACAAATCTTATAATATTTCTGGCACTGTTGTATCATGATTCAATGCATGTCCATTTGTTTGGAAGTGTTAATTGACTGAAGTCCGCTGCATGATTCATTCTTGATCAAGATTTAACTGTATATTGGGTAGTTCTCAATTGCTTATATAATAATTTTCACAATGGGGAAAAAGGGTTCAACTTAAGGGTTCTTACCGTAAAAATCCATTGTTCACTTTGCGTTTGTATTATGTTTCTTTTGCAATTCCATAAATTATTAATTAAAGATTTAAGAATAATGTGATGTATCTGCGCGTATGTGTCAGTTACGTAAGTTACGGAAAGGTTCTTTATCTTAGGATGACAGAGTAACCTCTAGGCGTGGAGACACATATGGGTACACCTGTCGGTAACTGCAAGTATTGGTGTGTTCAAACCGTGCGAAAAGGCGTTTTCTTAGCTTCTATGACGAAAAGCAGCTGCGAGCGGGCAGCGGGGCGAGTAAGGAAGCGAGAACAGGAGGCGGGGGGGGGGGAAGCGCGAGTCCCGCAATTAAGCGATCCGGGCGAGGAAGCGGGCTCGCCGGCAAAAGCCAACTTTGAACGGCGGCGGCGCGCGGCCGCGCCCCTCCCACCCCCTCCACCCCCCACCCTGACTCCACCCCCTCCTCTTCCTCGCAAAAAGCACCGCCCACTCGCCCGTCCGCTCGCTACGTCAAGGTCGCTTGTTTTACGCCGCTGCGGTGGCGACCGCTCGCAGTAATCGAAAGTACTCCGTACGATTCCGTTTGCTAATTCCAGTATTCTGCTCGTTGTCATGTTCCGAAGTTTAAAAGGACGATTCCTTCTATTGTACTTAGTTCTTCAATCCATTTTTTAAAAACGAAACCTATTTCAATGAGCGAGGCAAAATTCCGATTTTCTTTCTGTGTGATTCGAATTTAAAATTTTTTAACATTTTCTAGCATTTCTGGGAAATAACCCTGCTATTTCGATTGCTTTCGGTTCTTAAACACTTTCGATCAAAAGAATTAAGTCACTGTACTGCCATTTGAAACAATGAAATCATGTGTGTAGGTTTCCCATGCCCTTTTGCTTCAGTACTCGAAAGGTCATTACTTTATTGTCCCATTTGTGTACATAATAAATTGGTACTGTGAAAATGTTGGGCGACAAGAGCGTGGGGGCTAGGGAGTTTTCATTTTTTTTTATATTTATGGGATAATAAGATGCATAGATCCGTACATACCTTGTTATGTGCACTTTTGTATGGTTTAGTTTTTATGGTGTATTCTATAACATAACTTTATACTAATTCTAACTATAGATGCTTAGGAAAGCTCATAGAGCCTCTTACTTATTCTGCAACTGGATATTCAAAATCGTATATCGGAAACCTTTTTTAAATTCTTGTCCGGGGATATGGATTGAGCGACGTTAAATGGGAGTAGATTTTCGGTTTGATTGATGCTTTATTAGGCAAGAGACATTGAATTGTTGATGCAACTGTAAATTGGACACGAACCACGGAGCCTTTGTTGTTGTTGTTGTTGTTGGTTGTCGGGTATTGATGTTGGATTGTTTGGGTGCCGAAGCATCGAAGCAGCAGGCAGTTGCTCTTGCGCCTGGTGCGCGGCAGAAGGCTTGGGGCTGCGGACGCTTTCGCGGCCCAGTGAAATGGAAAGGGGATTCGCGACCAGCTCGCTAGCGGGTGAGATACACCTCGCCTAGTAATCGCTGTTTTTAGGGATATCCACTGCTGCAGTTATATGCGGTAAAGAAATTGCATACGCTTTGGTAATATCGGAATTATAATTTTTTGTCTAATATTCCTGCATGCAAATTGCATTTGTACGAAATCTTACTTACTCGTTACTAAATATTTCGTCCAATCTCGTACAGGATTTATTCCCATTTCGTAGTCACTACAAATGTGAATCGGAAAGTAAAGCGAAGAGGGAACGCACTTTTACTAATTGTTTTCTCCAGAGGCCCCAAATAACTCGTCTGTGATTTGCAATCCCTCAACATCCAATTGATTAAACTATTGCCCAATTCCCTCTTCAGGACAATAAGAGGATTCCGTATCAAGAAACGCGCTTTAACTCGTTTACTAATGAATCCGAATGATGGTCAAAAATGCTTTTTTTCGAAGAGAGGACGATATGTGATAAAATGCCGAAGATTAGAGTTGGATTTTTAAGTGTTCCAGTTGCTGAGGGAAGTGAGCAAAATAAGGAAGGGGAGACGAAGGTGGGGCAATTGGAAGAGATAGAGGAAGAGAGGGAATATGTAAGAAAGGTAGAGGAAGTGAAAGAAGTAAGTAAGTAGCGAGCGTCTGGGGTATTTGTAGCAACTATGTTGTCTGTGTAAAAAGCGACCATAATCTCCAAATGCGACTGAAGGAGGTACCATCTTCGCGTCGTGAGGAGCCGGGCGAGGAAGCGCCTTCGCTTCCTCCCGGGTGGGCCGCGGCGGCGCCCGCGCGCGCGCGCGCGCGAGCTGTCGTTCCGCACTGCGCCGCGCTGCAAGTGCAAGGTGAACCGGTGGCCGCCTCCTGCACCGCCTTTCAGAAAACGTCGGCCCCGCGGGGAACCTGCGCCGCTTGTTACTCGCGCAAGCGCTGTAGCGAATGGCTAGGGTTAAGAAATGGGATGGAAGCGGGACGCTCCATGTACAAACATTTGAGACAAAATTCAGTATCCGGTATTTTGTCTCTTAACTTTTTACGGTTATGTTAAGTTTAAGCCGATTTTCAACATTTTTGATATGTTGAAAGTAAGTAGTGTTTTCATGAAGTCATTGCATTTTTCATTTCGTGTTGTAATGTTGCATTGCTTTTTAGTTCTTCAGAAATAAAAAGGCGCCGTACCTTGCCTCCTGTTACAAAAGTCCAGAAATGACAATTTTATAAAGTTCTACATTCCAAAGAATTCCTTTGCCTGTTTCGTTTCTTTGAGAGCTGTGATGTTTTCTGGAGCAATGTTTTTTACTAACGAGAGGTCGCGCGTGGAAAATCTTTTATTTCTGTGGAAGAAGCCGTTTCTTAATTATCTGTCGACACGAGAGAAACTACATTTCGACGCTTCCATTTGCACATCGAGTCGCGAAAAATTTCGTTTTTTGGTCGCCTTCTTTCTCGTTCTCTCTTTTTATTTATTTATTTTTTTTTTATTTGACGAAATGTCGATTCGCGCGAAACGCGCTCTCAGCAGTCTGCGCGCACTCGCCGGGCTTCATAACTCACAGCGGCCATTGTGCGCGGTTGACGCGGCGCCGGTGATGTGGGAGGGACGGAGAAGAAGAGCTCCGCTCGACAGGGGGAGGGGCGAGCGAGCTAGGGCCCGGCGGAGGTGGGGAGAGGAAGTTGGATGGATATAGGAAAGGATACAGAAATGATGGTGGTGTTGCGAGAGCTTTGGGATAGCGTTTGCAGGATGCGAAAGGGCGTGTTAAAGAATGCGAGTGGAATACAGAATCCGGTGAGGTTGGGGGAGCGGAAGAGAGCAGTCGGCTACGTCAGCAAACGAAGGAATAGGGAGGAGAAGCAGTGGTGTTAGGAAAAGAAGACGTCTTAAATGGAAAGGGCGGAGTGGGGTGGGAGCGAATCGGGATATCATGGGGTTGGGGAGGGGGAGTGTTGCGCGTGTGTGGCGGGTGGCGAGGCCCCTCGGGGCGCATCCATCAACGTGTGTGTGTGTGTGTGGGTGGGGGGGGGGTCGGTCCGGCGCCGGTGGCGCTCGAGTGACGCCGGGGAGCAGGTGACGCGCCATGGCGCTGCGAGGATCCTCGTTATTGCGCGACGTGCACGGGCGTGGGCTGCTGCGGCCTGCGCGGGAGAAACGGCGGACAGCGGGCCGCATCCACGATGCAGCCGCGCACCTCGTTACCCCCGATGGTTGTTACTTTTGAATGGCGGAGAGAAGAGTTTGTTAACGTATTGCTTGGGATTGATTAGAGGTTTATATTTTAAATCATCACATTGCGGTTTCTCTTTGTTGATGATATTTATATATTTACTCTCATCAATTTGAAATAATATCAACAATGCCGTGCTTTGGGATTTGGTGAAACATGCCGTCAGTCTTTGTGTGTAAATTTCCAAGTTTAGATTATATGCAATAAAACATTGGTCGTGATTGTGTAACTGGAAAACGTGTAATGGCCTTCTCAAAAGTGCGATTCAAATGAAAACATCTTTTTATCATAAATTACGTTCTGTACTTCCTGAAATGTCACATCATCGAATATGCTGCCTACATGTAGTCGCCGCATTTCATAATGTGGCAGCTCCTATATATCGCTCTGCGTTAATGGCCGAGAAATGAGCCGACATTATTGGCGACAGTGCTTCCTAATAATGACACTGTGCGTAGGCGGAAAGTGGGGGAAAAGAATTCGCTGGCATATGAAATGCATTTACGCGCCTTTCTGGGAAAAGAACCATCATGATTGATATTCGATTGTAATTTATGAGACTGGAACAGGGTTCTGGAAGAATAGGAATTTTTGGCACGCGAAAAGAAAGTCGGCTGACTCGGCCATGGCTAACGGTTGTTCCATATTTGTGTATTTATTCATTGGCCGGTTTCGTACATCCGCGCGTCCGAAGAAAGCGAATCTGCCGCCGCGCCGACGTGCGCGAAACGCGAGCGCGGGAGGGCACCTGCCTGGCCGACTGCGCGGCGGCGTCGTGCATGCGTTGAACCCGCGGCGCGAGCGAGCGCCGTCACCAGCGCCAGTGACCAGCTGTTTTTTTGCGCGACTGGTAGTAGCGAGGCGGTGGCGACTTGTCAAGGCGAGCGGGAGAAGGAGCGAGCGGATAAGAAAGCGCGCGCGCGTGCCGCGGAGCGGGCCGGGCCCCCGTCCGTCCGTCCGTCCGTCGCCGGCTGGGGCGAGAGCAGCGCCGGCAAGGTGGCTTTTCCCCCGCAGCGGCGGTGGTAGCGCGTCCTCGCCGAGGAGGACGAGGAGGCGGAGGACGAGCGCGCGAGGAGGAGGAGGCGGCGAGGAGAGGAAGACGGAAGGCCGCGGCGGGGCGGCGCCGTGCCATGCGCTGCGTCGCGCCGCGCCGCCGTCAGCGTCAGCACCCGCGCCGGCGTCCGCCCCAGCGCCGGGCCGCGTGAGCCGCGCCACGCTCGTCGCGGTGAGCGCCCGCGCCCGCGAGGTGCGCCGCGCCTTCTTCCTGTGCGTGGCCGCGTCCACCGACGCGCCCGCCACGCCGCCGGCGGCATGCTGAAGAAGGAGAAGCCCATGATGTCGGTGGCCGCCATCATCCAGGGCGCGCAGGCCCAGCACTGGGGCAGAGGTAGGCACGTGCGACCGCCGCGCCGCATGCTCCCCGGCCGGCCCTTGGCCCTTGCTTTTGAAATGCAAGTCGTTCATATTGTGTCAGACGGGATGTTTCGCATATTGGATTGACGTCAACTTTGCCTCTATATTTTAAATTTGTCGTGTGTTGTCAGAGTTGAAGACACCGTTGATATTTTTTTTCTATTTAGACGTTAGTATTCTTCTAGGATATCTCAAACATACAGGTGGATGTAGTAAGATTGGTTGGTATTTGTACGAACTTACTTGAGTATTATTAGTTTTCAAATCTGCAGAATTAAATAAATGAATTCTTTATTTGGTATTACATGCTGTGTACCGATATGTTGCTAATCGTTTAGATTTATGTTCCTTGTTTTGAAATATTAAACTCCAAATTCCAATTCAAAACTTGATTTCAGCGTTTGGGCTGATCTTTCTATATTCACACAACACTCTTGAGTTAGCTTCCACTTCACTATACTGTATGAAGTAATATATTTATAGGAAAGTTTTTGTAAACTCAGTAGTTTGAGTAGACACATTTGAGTAGAAGAAGCTTTCATCTATTGTGAGTAAACGATAACGATAGATAATAAATTTGTCTTTCAGCGTATTTTTTTTAAAATTACGATTTTTATGAAACGTTACGAAAAACGTTTAAAGAAGAAAATTGATTTTTATTCTTCTATTGTTTTTGTAGTAGTATTTTTTGTCAACGATTTATATTAACGTAACGTTGGTCATTGCTTCGTGTACGAAAGGAGATATTCCCGCAAATGTTGTCATCATATAACATGCTGTTGTGTAACATGTGTTGAGTGGCTTTATTCTGCCTTCTATTTCCCATTAAATGTGGAAAGAAAAACTATTGCCTTCAGATGTTGACGTCTGTGTGTTTCGCTTTACATTATTCAAAGGTGGACAATGACTCTTTCAGTTTCCACTTATCGAAAGCATTTTTATACGATTGCATACAATTTTAATGTATGTTATAATTTGCTGTTTAAAAAAGGACTATACTTACCATTACGAATCAATAACATTTTGATTACATACGAGTGTTTGTGAATATGAAATTCCGTTCACGAGATACGATTACACCGAGCGAATTTAAATGTCTCCTCCAAACACTTCCTTTAGAATGCGATGTGACGTTTTGATTTTTTTTTTTTTTTCCTTCTTAATTTAGTTACGAGAGTATCGTCATATTACTCTTGCGCCTGGTTCCAGTTTCAGTCACTATCAATGTAATTGTCTCCAATGAACATAATTTGGTTGTAGTTCCATGTATCCATGGATAAGATATTTTGGCTTTTTACTCTCATCTTATTGTATAATTGAGCTACGAGGAAACTTGGTCGACCTTGCTTCTTTGAGCCATTTTTGAAAAGTATCCATCGCTCCGGTCGTGCGGCATTTATTAAGCGCCCTTTGCATTGCTGACCTCTAAACTGGCATGTAAAGTCGCTGACTCTTTGTCTGCCGTTTTCCGGTCCCACAATAGGACTGGTTGGCATTGCCGTCATTATCTTGGCATGTTAAACGAGCAGATAACGGCAGGTGAGCACGTCGCCCTTAACACCGCGCCCCCGCGCCGTGCGCACCTCTTTCCGACCCGCTTCGCGAGGCGGTTGTCACAGACGCTGATTGCCCCTTCCTCATCAGCATGCTAGTCTTATGCAATGATCTACCCTCCCCCCCCCACGTTAATCATTGTTACGTACATGCTTATTTACCGTTATTAAAAAAATCCGAGATCCAATCAATGAACTCTCTACGTCGCCAGATGCAGCCCCCCAAAACGTGACATGTCCGTCTTCTCCCACACTTGTTGCAGCATGTGTGTTTTACAATTCCGTGCGTCCGCCCAGCCCCCATTGAGCGGGTGGCGCTGCGCTCGCCGCCGGCGCGTCCCCTTTGTTCGGCCGGCCTTGCGCCGCCAGCCGCGCGCGGGGCGCGGAGGGCGGCGCTGCCAACATTCGCGTGCCGCGAACGTGGCCAGCTACTTACAAAGGAGCGTGCGCGGACGCCAACTTCTTTTTCTGCTGCTCACGTCGCTGCTTTTGGCTGGTGCAGTGGGGTTTGATGTGCGCCGACGGGGCGTTGGGACGTATTTTGGGGCGCGCAGCGCTTGCGACGGGGAAGATCGTACATTCGCCTGGAATCGAGGTGAGAATTACTTCGGGAAATATGTAACTGCTTATTTATGTTTTGGTACTCAGGAACGTACAGAGACTGTACGGCTCTATAGTTCAGACGTCTATTTTAGAATAGATAGAAGACAATATGAAAAAAATAACCAATCAACCCGTTAAAAAATAAAATAAAAAATACCAATATTTTTGTAATCCGTCATTTACATTATTTTTGGCCCAGGATTGTTCAATTAGATGTTAATTGGTTAAAAGTAATAATTTTTATTAATATTGGACGTCGTATTTTGTGTAGGGCGTAGATCATCCGTAAGTTCTTCAGATTGAAGAGAACACCGGTTAGCTTAGTCACTATCAGCAAAAGTAAGTAGAGCAGAGAAAGTTGACGTCACACCGGTTGCGTCTGTAAAGAGCGAAAGTGTTTTAAGACTTTCATGGACTCTGCGAGTGGCTTGCGGCTCTTAACGAGTTGTAAAGGTTGGCTAATGTCTCTTGACATTGGAAACAGACTCTTGGATTACCTCTTTAGGCGTGCTCTTTATATAAGGTTTGCCCAAATGAAAAGGAGACTGTCGCCGTAGCGGCGTGTCAATTTTCCGTAAGCGAACGTGGTAGCCGATAGATGGCACGGGATTTCCCCCTGTTGCACAGGTGGAGAGAAGGATTACCTCCGTTCGGTCGCGTTGCTTCCGCAGTTCGTTGCGTCATGGAATTCCTCCAGAACACGAGCATCCAATTTCTTCGCGCATAAGAGCACCATGGGTGTCAATTTATCTCAAGATGCACGCGGTGTGTGGCGAGCGGTGTCTCGTAGGGTGTAACGTATTCCGGGGTGCCAGCGTCAACATGAAGGACTGGCCACGCCAGGGGCGATCGCACGTTGAGACCCACATTGCCACCATTGCGGCTGTAGACGGGCTCATACGGCATAATCGTCGGCTCACCACACGTGAAATTGCCATGT